GGGGGGAGGGGTTTGTGCGGGGAGAAGGGTGCAACAATGAATGAATGGAATTCCAAAATCTCTGTAGATGTTCATTGAAATGAAAAATAAACAAACTAAATTAATAATAAAAAAACTAGTAGAGAATCAGCTATATTCTGATCCTCAACAACACACAACAATGCTGTGTAATCTTGATATCCCAACTGAAAGGCAGATATTTTCAGACTGATTAAGAAAAATTTTCTAGTTTTGGTCTTATAATGAAATAGTTTGAAATCATCACTCCTGTTATTTTAACAAGCATAAAAGCTGGAAAACTGGAATCAATTAGTTAAAATCACAGGAAAATATGGAAAAAATCTTAAAGAAATCAGAGAAAATGTTTGACCAAAAAAAAGACTATGTTAGAAAAAGGTAAAAAGATGTAAGAAATAATCAAAATAGTGCCAGAAAGCACAGTAATATTAAAGATTCAATAAGATGTTCAGTATCAGCTGTGAACATTCAAAAAGAACAAGTAAATGTGAAAAAAGTATAATTAAAATTATCCAGAAACAAAAAGGAAAAAGAATGAATAGTGAACAAAGTGTAAGAGGCCTGTGGAGCACTATTATGTGGGCTAATACACATTGTTTAAGAAAGAGGAAAGAGAAAAAGAAAAAATATTTAAAACATGAAAATTGTCCCAAATTTGATGAACTATGACTATATACTTCCAGAAGTTTAACAAATTATAAACACAATAACTCAAAGAGATTCTCACTAAAGCACATTATTCGTTTTTCTGTTTTGAAAAATTGCCTACAATTACCCCATCTTTTCAGGTCCCATTGAATCTTTCCTATTCCCTCACCCATCTATATGCCCACCAAATTTTACCATCCTAATTGTTTTCCCCTGTTCCATTTCCTTTCGCTTTTAAACTTTCATATACATCTCACTTATTATACTTCTATTTTTACAATAATGGTTTTATGCAGCTTTGTCCTTATGAGACTCAATTAGCTCACGCAGAATAATACTCTCTAGATTCTCCCATGTGATATAGAACTTTACAAAATTGTTTCTTTGTTCTGTATAATATTTTTTTGTGTCAGTGCACCACAATTTCTCAATCCATTCATTTGCTGTTGATCAATTTCTATTTTCTTGCTATTGTGAATAGTGCTGCTGTGAAAAAAAGATGTACATTCTCCCTTTGTGTCTCAGTCTTAGTTTCCTTAAGGTATATTCCTAGCAGTGAAATAGTTGAGCCATATGGGCTTTCTGAGGGACCATCACACTGCCTTCCAGAGTGGCTGCATTCTGCAATCCTATCAGCAATGCATGGGAGTTCCAATCTCTCCATATCGTCTCCAACACTTGCTTGTTGTCTTGTTATATTTTGCTACTCCTACTTGAGTGAGAGCTAGGTAAATCTAATCTTTGGAAAGGGGAATTATGCTTGGAAAGATGGAGAGTCAGCAAAGGAGAAGAAGACCTCCAATGAGATGGATTGACACTGTGACTTCAGCAATGGGCTCTAGTGTTGCAGAGCTCATGAGGATGGCACAGGATAGGGCAGATTTTAAGTTGGCTGTTTATTGGGTCACTATGAGTCATACTCGACTTGATTACACCTAAAAACAACAACACTGGGGTGAAATGGTAGCTCACTGTGGTTTTGATTTGTATGTCTGTGTGCTATATGAATGCCTTTCTCCAAGAAAAATCTTTTTTTTTCTTTTTCCCATTTTGTGATTGGGTTGTCAGTCATGTGTATGTGTGTGTGTGTGTGTGTGTGAGAGAGAGAGAGAGAGAGAAAGAGAGACAGAGAGAGAGAATGTCCTGTATTCTGTAAATTTTTATTATAAGACCTTTGTCTGAGATGTCATTGCCAAAATTTTTTCCCCACGTTTTCTTTTCACTCTACTGGGGGGAAAAAAATCGCTGATGCACATGGGAACTTAATTTTTGAGATGCTCTAGTTTGTTGATTTTATCAACAATGTGGTTTTGGCTATATTTTCTAGCCTTCTCATGCCATTGGCTAGGGCTACTAAGTTTGGTCCCCCTTTGTTTCTTGTGATCCTTATAGTCTTGAACTTTGCCCCTGAGTCTCTGATCCACATTGAGTTGGTTTTTGTGTCTGCTATGAGATGTAGATGCTGTTCCATCTTTCTGCAGGTGGACATCCAGCTTTGTTAGAACCATTTGTTGAGGAAGTTATTGTTTCCCCATTGATAAGTTTTGTTTCTTTGTCAAATAGCAATTGAGTTTAGGTAGCTGGGTTAATTTCTGGATTAATATTCTGGACAAATTCCTTGAAACCCACACCGTACCGAGACAAACAAACAGAGGTAGAATGGTCGAACAAACTTATCACAAAAGGAGAAATTGAGAGAGGCAGGGGTTGGACTCACGGTGAGCAGACGTGGTCTAGTCATTGCGTTTGCCACGAGGAATCGAAGCCTCTTAAAAAGGCAGATGATTTGGACTTCGAGACAGGAGATGCAGGGGCCTCTGCCACCTTCCCAATGCAGTGCTCAGCATTACATAAGAATGGCTTTGTGATGCTCAAAGGCAGACCATGTAAAATCGTCGAGATGTCTACTTCCAAGACTGGCAAGCATGACCATGCCAAGGTCCATCTGGTTGGTATTGACATCTTTACTGGGAAAAAATATGAAAATATCTGCCCCTCCACTCATAATGTGGATGTCCCCAACATCAAAAGGAATGACTTCCAGTTGATTGGCATCCACGATGGGTTCCTATCACTGCTCCAAGACAGTGGGAGGTTCGAGAGGACCTTCGTCTGCCTGAGGGAGACCTCGGCAAGGAGATGGAGCAGAAGTATGACTGTGGAGAAGAGATCCTGATCACAGTGCTGTCTGCATGACAGAGGAGGCCGCTGTTGCAATCAAGGAGGCCATGGCAAAATAACTGACTCCCCTCATGGGGTGG